CACAGAGCTAGACCCCTTTGCCTCTCTCTCTCTCTCTCTCTCTCTCTCTCTCTCTCTCTCTTTCTCTCTCTCTCTCTTTCTCTCTCTCAGGGTGTTGAATGTACCCAGGGGTGCTCTCCCACTTAGTTACTTTCCCTTTCTTGTATGTATTTACATACTTATTTTTTTTTAAATTTTACATTAGATTTCCTTTAGTTTGCCTGGGCTGGCCTTGAACCTGACATTCTCTTGTGTCAGTTCCCCTGAGTGGCATTAGAGCTGGGTGCCACCTCTCCTAAGCACACACTCTAAAGCTGAGCCCAGCAGCAGGTTGTTGTTTATGGAGCACTCCTCTGTGTCTGCAGTCTGCATGCTGGACAGTTGATTATTCCAAACAGATTACACACTATTGCTTTGCCATGCAAGATGATGCACATTTTAATTCCAATGACCATGTTTGCTGTTGCAGGAGGACCATGAGTCCCTGCCTGTCATGATGGAGCTCTTTTCTCTTCCACCTATGTCTCCTGGATAAAGCCTCAATTAAACCCAGCACACATCAGAGGCACCAGGTCCACAATCTCTCAGGCCATCACCCTCTCCACCTCTGCTGGAACGTGGACAATGCCTTAATTCTCACGTCTCCTCTGACACCTCTACCTTTGTGAGCTCCTGAGGATTATGCAATGCCAGATACCCCACTTGGCTCTCCTTTTCCTCTCCACCCGAGTTTCCGAGTTTTTATGTTTTGTTGTTTTCTTGTTTTATGTTTTTGTTATTGTTGTTTGTTTTTATGATATGATATTTCATTTTTGAGAATAGTATGGTAAATTTTGGGGTATATGATTTTATGTTGTGATATAAAATATGTCATTTTTCATAATTTTAGATTTATTTCTATGTGCTAATTACTTTTAAATCATTCAGAACAAAGATAGTTGAGAAAGAGATAACATATTTACAGTAAAATTGTAATGATTATTGGATCTAAATAGTGAAAATACTTGTGCTCATCATCAGGCACTCAAGTGCATGTGTAATCCCTGCTGCTTTAGACTTGGGCAGTAAGATGGCAATTTTCAAGAGAGCCTTAAAACTTAGCAAACTCCTGTCTCACAGTAAAGTGAAGCTTGACGATGTAGCTCAATAATAGAATACTAGGTTTAATCCGAAGTAACACAAAGAAACAAACAAGAAGTTGTGGTCGTCCAATTATTCTTGAACCTTTGTTTAAATGCGAAATCCTTCCAACAAACTTTCAACATTGTAGTTGCGCATTATGGCCACATGGTGGCAATAGACTCAATTTGGAACTTCTGTAAGAGCACTCCTGTGGACAAAGGAGTAGTAAGAAATCAATACTTCAACAACATCTCTTTCATTGCTTCCTCTATGAGGAGAAATGTGTAAAACATTTTAGAAGGCAAGCATCCTTGAGAAAACTTAAAATAT